TCAATTGCGTCTGCTCTAGACTTCCTTTAGTCATTGGGGTTTGCCTTGGAGACGGACCCCAACTCCATGGGAAGAAACACAAAGGAGAAGAGACGAAAGCTCTGGGCCTTGGGAGGGCAACGCCAGACTCGACGCTGAGGAGGCTGCCTGCTGTCTGTGTGCCTTGGCTTCTGTCTTGGGAGCACCCATCACCCTTCCTCGGGCATCGGGAGGGCAGAAAGCAGTGCTCTGCATGGAGGTAGTGATCTAAGGACCTGGTGCTGGGGGAAAATGAGAAGGTTAAAAGGTGGCAAAGGCTGAAGGAGAGGGGCTGGGGGGGCGGGCAGGAGAAAACGTAGAAGAAGGTGGAAGAAAAGAAGAGGAGAGAGGGAGATGAGAGTTGAGGATCAGTGGAGAGGAAAGAACTGGCACTCTGTAAATCCGGGCGTTCTAATTACCTACTGTTGTGTAACCACCCACCCCAAATGCAAAGGCTTATAACGATGTCTTATCTTCGTGGTCCTGGGGGTTGACTGGGCCCAGTGGGGTGGTTCTTTCTTGTCATCTCTCAGGCAGTCAAGGCAAGATGGCAGCTGATGGCCAGCATGGTTCCTTGCCTTGCGTCTGGTGCCTTGGTGTCCCCGGCCCCTCTCTCTACCATGTGGATACTCATCCCTCAAGGTCTCTCCAGGCAGGCTGGGCGTCTCACCACAGGGAGCCTCCGGGTGGTCACATTTCAAACGGGGAGGCTGGGCTAGAGGAGGCAGGAGGTGAAAACCCCAGGCTGGCTGAGGCCTCTGTTGTTATGGGCACAGGGTCCCCTCTGCCATGTCTATTGGCTCAAGTGGAAACCAATCTAAAGGCCCATATTCAAAGGATGGAGACACAGGCTCCGCCTCCCGATGGGGGAACGCCAGGACACAGAACAGACATGCAGCCACCGTAAGGACAGTGTGAACCTTTAGTTCAGCAAACGAAGGGGATCTCCGGGAGGGACATGACCCCGACATGTTGCTTCAGTCACGGTCACTGAACTCCTAGGGACATTGTAAGTATTTGTTGAGTGGGCCTTGGAGGCGCCAAGGAGAAGGGTGGCCCTTCAAGTTCCGGTACAAATGCTTGCCCAACTCCCTCACCCTGAGAAGAATGGTCAGGCTGACTAGCAGGTTGAGACCTTCACGGGGCCCAGTATCTCGAACAATACTTGGTATACAGCAGGTACTCAGCAAATGTCTGTTGAGTGAATGAATGACTGCATGGGCTTGACTGAGGACCTGCTCTGTCTCTTGGTAGGTGGCGTCTCGACCCCCTCGCCGAGCTCCTAAAAGGCGGTCACCCCACTTGAGCTCCCTCTGATCCTGAGAGGACAGGGAGACCACAACCTCAGGCCCAAGCAACCAGACACCCCCCACCACAGTGAGAGCAAATGACTCACTGGCCTCTTGACAGTGAATCTCACTGAACCTCACGTGATCCGAACAGCTGTCCCTACGCAGCAGGAAACAGTGGCTCAGAGATATGAAGACACTGGTCAAAGCCACACAAGCAGTGTCAGGTGGGACTCAGGCCCTGGGTGTCTGACCACCACTGTCTCTCACTTTCCCTGGGGATCAGAGGCTGTCTCTGCCTCTTTGGTTTCCAAATTGCTGTGTTTCAATCAGGCCCAGGTGAACGAGACTGTTCCACCTCAATGGAAGGGGTTTTCCACCATGCAGGCCACATCTTCATGGTGGACGAGGAAGGAAGCAGGGGAAAAAAAAAAAACTCTCCCAGCAGTGGCCTTGCCATCTTCTGGCTGGGCCACAGCACACACGCCTTAGCAAAGTTTCACCTCTGATTTAGCATAACAAAACTTTTAATTTAGATGTTTTCGTCTCTCTCTCCAAGTAAAAATAAGTTTAAAATAATGACTGTAATAAATGAAGGTAATTAATTGTAGTTTGTTCCTTTACTGTCTAGTCAGCTTAATTTTACCTTTTCAACTAATAATGAGAAAATAATTTTTGTGCTCGGAGGGTTAATGATATGTAACTGCGAGAACTGCTAATTGCATGTTGCAATCCATCCATCAACAACCCCATCTGTGCGACTTGATTATGTTTGCTAAATTATTGCTTTGAATTATCTTTCATAAAGCAACTTTTGTAATTAGCGGGGCTTTCGTCTTGCTCTTTTCTCTGCGCACAAGGATATTCAAACTTTGGCCATTTCAAGCTGTCTCCATTAAGCCACCTTCTCTGGCTGTCTTTGTTTCCCTGAGCAGGGGGAATCAAGACTGTCCTTTAAGCAATCAAGGCGGAGAGGGAAAGCTTCCTCAATTCACAGCAGGGCAAATTCACTTCCTCTCCGCCTCCCTCCCACCACCAGCACGGTGGGGGGAAAAAAAAAAGAAAGAAAAAGAAAATAAGACCCCCGCATACACAGTGTGAAAAGATAAAAGGATGCCTGTATTCTGTATACACCAGGACTGGTGGAGTGAAATTAAGGAATGAACTTGAACGTGTTATATTTCAACAAGAGGCCCGCACTTGGGGAGAAGGAATGACGGGTACGATATTCGGCCTTGGCGTTTTATGGGTTAGTTTATGTGACTCTGGAAGGTGTTCGCCTCAGGGAATATTCCTGGGAGGTGATTAATGCCCACTTGGGAATCTGCAGCTCTGAGCCCAGAGCCTGGTGGATTGCGAGAGGGAAGCGGCATAAAGGATGAACCCTCATTAAAAAAATTAAAATGAAAATCAAATTTGGATTATAAACGGCCTGTGTGTGTGCAGTTTGTTCTGGACGAAGAAGATGCTTTTTATTAACACCTTTCTTTGCCAGCGCTTCTCCCCTGAGGCACTGGGAAGGACATGGCGGCCGCAGTGGATTAGTCAATAGATCATGGAGAAAGCGGGGGTTTTGGGAATAAAACTCCAGACAAATGTAGTCTTTTTGGTACATTAAAGGGATGACAGAAAACCCTTTTAAAAAAATTAACGAAGTTCTTTGAAGATTGCCAGCTATTAAAATGGTGTCTGTTCCACACGCCACATGGATTTGGAAATGAGAATTCAGCTTTGTCTCTTCTGGCCGCCCTAAGACTCTCTCTCTCCTCCTGCACTTACTGAGCATCAACTGTGTGCCGGACACATGTCAACTGCCTCCACACTGCTCAGTTCTTAGAAGCCCTCCTGTTAGTCGCCCTTAAGAAGGAAAACTGCAGCTCAAAAAAAAAAAAAAAAATCCCAAAAAACTGCAGCTCAGATAGGTTGAGGAACTTCCCCCAGGCCACACAACTAGCGAAAGATTCAAGCCAGGCCCATCTGAGTCTGATTCACATGTACTTTCCACCATACCACACTTGGGTCTTCTCTGACCACTGCCGAAATCTAACGTTTAACTCTTACTCCCATCGAAAGATGACGTAAGTCATGCTGGCTTCCTCTAGGGACAGAAAACCCCCTTCTTTTGGATAAAAAGCCTTGAACACCTAGTTAGGAAAGAGGCAGATTCTAACCCAGGCATAGTGGAGGCCAAAGAAACCTATGTTGAAGGTGACTGATAACAGAAATAAAATAGTAAGGCTTTTAACGCACAGAGTAATGTTCTGAACACTCTGTGAGTATTAACTTTGTTCTTCTTCATTCACAACCCTATGGAATAGGTATGATTATGATCCAGTTTTGTAGAGCGTGACACAGAGTCCCAGAGACACAAATAACTTGTGCATAGAGGCACAGGCAACCTGCTTAAGGTCAAACAGCTAGAAACTGGTAGAAGCAGGATTCAAATCCGGGCTGACCCCAGAGTCTGTGCTCTTCATTCCCAAGCAGCTATGTGTCAGGAATTACATTAAATTCTTTCCCTTCATTGTATTTCATCTAATCCTCAGAACAACATGGAAAGATCTGTAGTACTTTTATTCTCCTTTAACAGATAGGGAAACTGAGGCTAAAGAGAAGCTTTGCCATGCCAAGCCAAGCAAGGGGAATGGCCAAGAAAGTAATGCTCTACATGAAACATTCAATGCCTGTCTTGGGGCTGGACCAAGGGATCAGCTGCCTGAGAGCGCTTGTGTGCTGAATGCTTCTCATGGGACCATGAGCTGGCAGATGGGGACCTTTTTTAAAAACAAAAAAAAACACAAAACACAAAGCCATGACAACACATTCCTAACATTATTGGTCTTCTTTCTGGGTTTTTTTCCACCCTCTTCCAGCTCAGGCACCTCACAACCAAATGAATCAATACTGGATGGCCCTATAAATAAATAAGCACATCAGTCAACTCAGTAATAAAATGAAAGGATGAAAAATATGGAAATCAGCGACATTTGTGTAAATCCAGTTATTGTTTACTTTAATATTGCCTTATGTGCTTACTCGGTTCTGAAGAGACAGATTTAAAGTAATGTGGCACTTGGCGGACGACAGACTTAAAAATGTATCTCCACTGGCGAGTGCTTAAGGGCCAATCCTTTCAGCGTCCTGCCTGAATCCAGGGGAAGACTGAGAATAGCCCCCTGAAGACAGAACGTTGGAGAAATGGCCTCCCTCTTCCACTCCCCTGACTCAGTGTAAATCCATTCTTTTCCTTGCCAACCTCCTGCGCCAGCCAGACAAGTGGACATTCTCGGAATCCTGGTCACCAAGGCAAGCAAAGAGGGGACACGGGGGAGGTTCAGCTTCATCCCAGGGCTCCAGGAAGGCAAGAGAAACAACTGGCTGAGGACAGCTCAGCTGCTGCCAAAGGAACGAGGGCCCGATGGGTTGGCAGGAAAAGATGTGCAAGGAGTAGATTTTATATACTCCGAGGGTGGGTGGTAGAGAGGAGGATGTCAGAGCAGGCAGCAATCCCACCAAAGGGAAACAGAGCACCCTTTCTTATCATGATACTATGGCTGATCTGGAGGGCACGGGGCAGTCTACAATGGGCGCAGGGAAGTTTCTCTGCTGCTGGAAACCTCTGACAACCCCAGGTGGGATGGGAGAGACAACCGGGGGGTATTTTTGTGACATGCCACAGGCCTTGGGTCTTACCTCAGCTTGGAAGCTTTTTAATACAGGAGCCACCATCTCTCTGATTTCCTGTAAAAGAGATCAGCGAAGAATTCACTGTGGTGTCAAGTAGCCCCTGCCTGCAGCTCACTGCTGTCCCCCAAATCAGCAAGTGTGTCCCGCGGGACTTGCGCTCCGTGAGATTTCATAAGGGTTCCTCATATACACACCTACAGACAGACCCGAACACACGCAAAGGGGCCCAGCCAGGTCTGATCAGAACACAGCAAGCACAACGTCAAGTTTCTTCCCTGCAGGACCCTTGGGAGCCTTTTACACAGTGCACACTGGGAATTTCTGGAAGAGGGAGAGGAAGTAGCATTTCCCAAGTGGATCTGATCACGGAATGCTGTTTTATGCAAAGTACCTCATGTGATTGGTGGCTCATCAGGGGTCATTTTTTTGGAGCTGAGGCTGGAGAGGCTCTGCGCCCTGGGTCATGTCACTAACATCCTTTCAAGAAAACCTCTGCCCTCCAGGCGCTGCTCGGGGAGATGTCTCCGGAGGTTGCCCTTTCTGCTTCCCCACTCAGTCGCCCTCTCTAGCAAAGACTGCATTTGTCATTTTAGCAACACCGCCCTGTACTATCACCCCTTCCTCACCAGAAGATGGGGTTTCTGGGGGCTTGGTGGAGTCACCTGCCATGGGACCCAGCTCAGAAGAAGGGCCCTATAAATGTTTGCTAGACTCTATGCCACTGGGCCATCTTCAGAAAGGAACCTCCTATTTTGGACCCTAATTTCATGCCTTCCTCGAGGGCCTTTGAGGTCCCCAGCCCCAAGGATGCCCCTGGTGGACTCCCACGAGTTCTCTTCAGCGTGCAAGCGTCTTTTAGAACTGAGGGTCCCAAGATCTTGACCGTAAATGCTCCAGCTTTCTCTGAGACCCACTAGCGACTCCTCCAACCACTGTCATCTATGGGCCAAAAGAAACCCCCGTGGGAGGAGAACCTGAGCGGGGCTCGAGAGAAGGGAGAGGGAGCGGGTAGCAGAGAAAAGCAGGAAAGGGAAGGAGGCACCCAATATGCATGTCAGGTGAAGAATAAATCCCTTAACTATGAAATAGGATGGTGCTGCTCCCGGAAACAACCCTTTTTCTGGGTCCTGGGAACGCTTCCTCACTGTTCTGGGGCCCCCCCCAGGGCTTCTCAGAGCCACTGACTACTGATGTGTGCTGGGGATCGAAGGAGAGATGTAGGGAGCCCATGTGAACCGAGGGAATTTATTTGATCAGAAGGAACTGTGAGTGCAGGGGCTGAGCATGGGAAAGGAAACTCCTGTAGACCCAGGTTGCGGGTTGTAAACTCAAATGCCCACAGAGGCTGGAGGAAGAGGACAGGAGGGAGACAGGCTGGGCGGCCCGCGGCAAACCTCAGGAGAACACAGCGCCTTTGTAAGGCAGCTGCTCAGCTCTTTCTGATGCCTGCTGCGTTGGGGGTGGAGCCTCTGTGTGGCCAGCTCTACCAAACGGCCTCAAAAGAGATCGGAAATCCGAGTTTTGGGGTGAAATCAGAGATGCTAAATGTTGATAACTTATTGTAAAACTGGAGAGATTTTTACAGACCAAATAAAACACACCAGCAGAAAACCTCTGGTCTGGGTTTCAGGAAACGTAAGTTTTGGAAGAGGCTTATCTCCTCTGAATTTACAGAAAGGGACACAGCGGCTCTGAGAGGGGATGACTTTTGAAGGTCCCAAAGCAAGTGAGTGGCACAGCTGGAATTTCAATGCAGGTCAACAGATTCTCCAAACAGGCTCTGTTCACAAACCCCCACTCATATGAATTTAGGGGACTCAAATCTGAGAACCGTGGTGAGGTTGGGGGGACTTTGGACCAATGCCAACTCTTTCTAGACGCCCACCGCCCTTTCTGTCTGCTTAACCCCTGGGGGAAACCAAGCACAGGCACCAGCAGGAGGTGAGCTGGGTACCAGCCAGATGATGTTCTTAAATAAAGTCTTGGCATGACTCTCCCCCATCAGGAGAGACTAGTTCCAAAAATGAGAGTTTTCAGAGGCACGACTATAATAGGAATGGAAACTTATTCCTCCTAATTACATAATTGCATAATTATGCAGTATTAAAATTATGTAAGCTGAACTCAGAGGCTTAAAACCTGGCCTGGATTTCCCTTATCACCTGGGGGCTCTCACATGGCCTGGGGGAAGGTCTAAATGGTGGGCTGTGGAGATTTGTGGCCACTTCATCTCTGCTTCCCAGACACTGGACTCAGAGACAAAGCTTCTGGTTCTCTCACTCTGGGCAGAAAAATCGGTTTAAAGACCAAGCTGTTCTCTGTTCTAAGAGGGGAGGGAAGGATGCTCAGAATCTCCCCATGCCTTCTTGGCTCCCAGTCAAACCCAGGACTTGACTTGGTCTTTCTGAAGCTGTAACATGGCAGACACACAGATCTGAGATTCCCACCCCTTCTCCAAGTGCACTCTCGCTCAGCTCTCAAACCTGATTCCCCCGAGACTTGCTCCAGGGACAAGTCCTAACTAGAACCTACTTCCCACTCTTGCCTTGAAGAACCAAAGATATTTATGACATGTGAGGAGGATTTCACAGCTAAGAGACCAACCCCTCTGCGTGGCCTGATTTCTGGGTAGCCGGTTCTGGGTAGCCTGCTTCTTCTCCACCTTTCTGTGGGCCCCTCCTCCATCAGTAAGATGGCAACAGGACTCCTAGGTGATTCCAATAGGCAGAATGGAATCAACATGTCTAGGTCTAACATTAATACCTTCGGAATGGCAGACCCTGTTTGGTTCTCCTCCAAGATGCAGGCCACCTGAGTGGGCTGAGACAGAGCCCCACCCTCTGCTGACCACAGAGAGGCACAGCTGGCTTTGGGAATGGGCTGGGTGTCTGTTTCCCATTTTCATGACTCTGATGTGTCACATCCCTGCCAACATTATATGGAGTCAGGAGGTTTTCTTCTTCCTATTTGCATTTATTTCCATCATTAAAAAAAAAAAAATTTGAGGAGCAACAGGGGGCCTGATAGAGGAGGAAAAAAAAATTCACACATTCACCCCTGTGAAGAAAGAAACGTGTCCATTCTCGTCTTTTCCCCTGCGGGACCCTTACGTTGTGGGGGCTGGTCATTAACTGGACCACCCTCATAGCAGCTGGGAAAGACAACGCTGGTGGCTGGTGTTGCAAAGGAAGGGGTGAAGAATGAGGCACATTTATGGGGGATGGGTGCCACTTTCAGACTTGGGAGATTAAGGGGAGGGCTGGAGAAGGTGAGTCTACAGCCACCATCTCCCAGACGCCAACGGGAAAGCAAAACAAAATCAGGAACTTGAGACAAATTGTCTTTGCTGTCAAGGCCAAGCATCTGACTTGGACATTAATGTGGGGGGAAGATGGATGCTGTACAGAGCCTTCAAAAACAATGGCTTCCGTGGAGAAGCGTCCTGCTCTTACTCTAGACAGCACCGCTGAGTGCCACTATACGAAGAAATGCGGAAACGTTGAGGGTTGTAATTTTTCTTTGTGGCTAATTAGCTTCTTTTCTTGTTAGTCACTTATGTCTATAGTTTTCAAAATATAGTTTGAACGGAGAAAAATCTGCATTCCTACTGAGTTAATTCTATAACAGCAACTATACTGTACCTCAGGTACATTTTTCTTAAATTCCCGGCGGAGTTCAATTAAATGTTTATGAGAATGTTCACTCTCCTCCTGCCGTGCAGACAGCTCGGAAGCGACGGAATTAAGCTCCTTCTGGAACAATAAAAAAAAAAAAAAAGGAGAGAGAGAAAAGAAAAAGATTTTTTTTTCCTCCTTTTCCTTTTTAATCATTGTACAAAACAGCATTCCAAACAAGTTTTCTTAACTTACAAAAAAGCTGAGAAAAGACAGGATATTGACTCCTGGCACAAATGAATAATTTACGAAACTGGGGATGCAACCGAAAAAAAAATCCAGGACAGCTTTTTTGCTTGTCAGAAGTCAGGCCAGATCAATACTCTCCCATAAAGTTGGGTGGAGTTGTTTTTTTTCATTTCTTCCTTACGCCTCTGCCCCACCTCTTAAATTTCCAAGGGAGTGATGGCATAAGCTTGTCAGTAACTGTAGAAAACATCTCCAAACCGTGTCAAAATAGTAAAGTGCGGCATATTGTATGGGCATATTATAGTGTAAGAAAGTGCTGTCGACAGCTTTCATATATCAGAGGTGGGAACTGTTCCAACTATGACTTACTTACACTTAAGGGTTCATAAATACGCCTTTTAAGATATAGATGGCTTTTTAATTTCAGTAGATTTTGGAAAAATGAAGGTGCCAATAAGAAGCAAGATGACCTTTTGTGTATCCTGCAGTAAATCATTTAAGGTTCACTTCAAGTATAAGAAATATTTCATTGAAGACTGCTAGATTCAGAGCAAAGGATTGGAAGCAGCTTTGCCTGCTTATGTGCAGTGAAGGTTTCAGATCAGGTTTTTACAGGATGCACCAAGGAGGGAAAAAAAAGAGTGAGGGATGGAAGTGGGGGACGCTCCAGCTCACACATGACAGACAATGTCTGCTGGTCGTACATGTATATTTGATCACCCCTCTCGCAGCTTTCTTCACTTTAACGGTGGCAGTTTCACAAGGGGAGTACAATTCACCATGAGTTGTCATGGATTTCATTTGCATAATTCAAGAAATGCTCTGTTTATGTGGTCTGCTGCTTTCTTGCACCATCCCGAGATGGGCTTTTTTCTGGACCATAACTCGAGGAGCATTTCTGTATATATCACCCGATTATATTTGCAGCAATCAAGCCCCATAATTTCCTAAATCCGGTGATGCAATAAATTTCTGCAATCAGATTTATTAAAAACACACACGCAGATGCGAGAGTGTATTTCGAGGGTGAACTCTTTAATCTAACATATGTATGACGAGGCCTGGTACCGTGTTGAAAGACCCCATTTGTCATCACTAATACGCATTCATCTTGCACACACAATGAAACACTTTTACCATTAGATAATGAAATAAAAGTACTATTAACCCGCTGCAAATCCTTTTCCATCTAAGAGACAAAATGCATGGTAATTGTCTTATATCATGTCTGAGAGTCGGTAAATCTGCTCAATAGCAGTTCACCATAGCACCATAAACCTCATACCCACTGGAGGCTGGAGCGTCTACCCTAAACCCAGAATAAGTGTCTCTGCCTATGGAACTTTTGGGAGAAATCAGGGAAGGACTTTCTATTTCTGAAGAAATGTCTAACTTCTTTGGAAAATCATGAGACTAGAAGGGAGAAGGTCGAGGCAAAAAAAAAAAAAAGTCATTAAAATAGAGGGGCAAGAAACTGCGAAGTGTGGTGCTCTCCAAGGTGCTGAAATCAACTCTATGCCACAGCACTGGGTGCACCAACTCCAAGGTGCAGGGACTTCTAGTCCAGACGTCCCATTGAGTTATTGAGCCAGGTAAGGAACAAGGGGTCATGGGAGAGGAGAGAGAGAAAACAGCAACAATTTCTGACAGTCTACCAAGGTGATGGAGAAAATAAAGGGATTTCTGGTTTATCATCATTTAAAAATAACTGCAGTTTCCAATAAAGAAACCACAGTTGACTGTGACCAAAATATCAAGTGACTAGGGAGAGATCTGTGTTTGCAGCAATAGGACTGATCAAAGGTAGACAAAACCCAACTAGGTGGTGCAGCCAGGTGGACAGAACCTCACTTGGCAGGAGGGAAGGAACCAGAATGTCACGGTCAACTGGAGTTGTGGCAGGATGCTCACAGTTTTTCTTAGTTTGTTTCATCTGTCTTGAAGATAAAGGTGTGATTTTTACATTGCTACAGGACAAACATAACTGAGACTTGGGTTAACATCACACGATTTAGAATGATCATATATCTGACACAATGTTCTTATCTCTGGGATACTAAGTCTCCCAGCATCCCAGCAATCTCATGGGGGTTGATCTTTGACTCCTTATTTAAAACATCAAACCCAGGTTCCGAAAGGAAATTTCAGAGCAGGATAAGTCCAAGTGTCTGATGTGCTGTACCAGACAATGACACTGTGCAAGTGCACCAGCTCCCTCCGCCCTAACCTCCCAGGCTGCCGGTGGGCACGGATCTGTCTGCCGCATCCATACCATAGACAGGGCAGAGTGAGACCGGATGCGGAACATCAGTAGGCCTCCAAATCCAGCCCCAGGCAAGCCCAGCTCTTGGTATCTTTCCTGTTCATCCCTAGAGGAGCAGATGATGTGTCTGATGTCTACGTTCTTCTCAACATTGTCTTACATCTATGTTTATCCTTCAACCCTGAAGTCTTGCTGTTTGTCTATGGTGAGTACACTAACAACAACAACAATGGTAAATAACCATTGCGCATTGTGCTAGGTCGCTTCAGTTGTGTCCAACTCTTTGCAACCCAGTGGACCATAGCCCACCAGGCTCCTCTGTCCATGGGATTTTCCCAGGCAAGAATACTGGAGAGGGTTCCATGCCCTCCTCCAGAGGATTTTCCCAACCCAGGGTTCAAACTCGCATCTCTTATGTCTCCTGCCACTAGCGTCACCTGGGAATCCCAAATAAATAATCACAACTATCACTTACTAGGTCCTTACACATACCAGGCAACATGCTAAAGCTTATATATACATCATCTCATGTGGTGGACACATTAACATGTTGTAAGTTGATTCAAGCAGGGACTAAGAAACAAATTATATTCCTAATAATTCAGGTGTGAATTATCTCCTTGGTGGATTATAAAGGCAAAATTAAAATGTCCTGCTCTTCACTGGGCTTCTGTCCCTTCCTCACTAGCTGGGGGATGTTGAGGGAGCTGTTTTTAAATGTTATAAACATGTAAAGCATCAAGCACAGTACTAACTGTTCAGCAAGTGTTGGTTGATATTAAACTTAGATAAACTGAGAGCGCAGAGAACAACCCCCTAGATCAGTGATTCTACGAGCTCTGGATTTCACAGGTTGGTAAAAATTTCACACCCCTTGTTGTTGTTGTTCAGTTGCTAAGTCGTGTCTGATTCTTGGCGACCCCATGGACTGCATCATGCCAGGCCTCCCTGTCCCTCACCATCTCATAAAGTTCACCCAAGTTCATGTCCACTGAATTGGTGATGCCATCCAATCATCATCTCATCCTCTGTCATCCTCTTCTCCTTTTGCCTTCAATCTTTCCCAGCATCACACCCCTGCCCCCGAATAAAAGGATGACAGAGTATTGCCAAGTTTTACTCTAACAGGCAAAGAAAATAAAAAAACCACTCCCTCCCACCCTAAAAGACAAGACTATTTAAACATTAACAAAGCAAGATGGCCAATGAGAGAATTGACAAGTCTTTTAAAATAAATATATTTAAATAAAAAAAAACTCATAGCACTGTATTTATTTTGAAGGAATACAAAAAAAACTCTCATAGACATAAACCAGCACCCGTCTGAAGTTGAGTTTTAGAAATAAGTGTCTGCACTCCCAGGCACATACACAGCTTGCAGGCCCTCTTTGATGACCAAGCAGAACTTGGGATCCTCTCCCACCCGGCCCCCAGCCCCCAGCCCAAGGGGAGCCATGATTAACACAGCCCCAGACTTTGGGCCAGGCCCAGGCGGGGAGAAGACTCATCTGATTAACCGGCCATCAGCAGCAGACAGACAGCCCGGAGCCCAGCGCAGACCATTCAAATAATGATCATCATAAACAGCCCATTTGCAACTAAAAAGAAATAATTTTAATGAGCTTGGAGCAGATGATAGATGCAGCTGAGGCTCGGGCCAGTGTGCAGAAAGAAAGGAAGCCGGGACTGAGCTGCATCCAGGACGAGGAAGGCAGGAAGAGGCTGGGGCAAGGGATGAAGGGCTCTTCTAATGGAACCTACAGCTCTGCTGCTTGCCTACGGGAAACGCCCACTGTCTCCTAACTCTGAGAGGGTCTGTCATCACCTTGCTGGGCAACCTTGGAGCTTCCCAGGCATGCAGGGTCTTGGAACATATGAGCCAGAAGGAACTTTCAAGGCTGTCCAGTTCATCACTGCCTCAACTTCAACCATACATACCACTCTGCATGCATTCTGCCATATTGATATTTCACATGAATTAAACAAAGTCCTTGGTATTTATATTCAAACGGATTCATTTCCTTGTTTTTGCATAACTTTAAGTTCAATTTTAAGATCAAATTTCTTATGCCCTTATATATCTTGTTCAGATAGATACACAGAATATTCATGCTCTGAGCACCTTGGAAGGCTCTCCATGCCCTCTCCTAGTTAGTACTCCCTAAAGGTAACAATCATTCTGACCCTAGCATCATAGATAAATTTCGCCTGTTTTTGACCTTTACATAACAACTACTTCTTTTTTTTTTTTTAACCTAAATAAGTACATTTGAAAAGGAAATTCTTTTTATCACTAGAGGACCCGATGCCATGGACAGATGGTGGTCTTTAAAAGTACAATGAAAACAAAGCATTGCTGTTTGTCTTTGTTATAAACGGAGGTTGGCAAGTGCTAGGGAAGTGTTAAAGGCAAAGACTTTCTTCTTGTTTGAATGAGAAGGAATGGATGCCACGGAGAAGGGTTAACCGTTGCTCCTGACACAAGCCGATCCCTTCTGTGTCAGGTCTACTTACAATCATCTCACGTCCTGTCCGTGGAGGTATGTCTCGCACTTCAGCTAATGTGAATTGAATCAGATTCTCCCATTTTAGAGATGAGGAAACTAAGGCAATAAACCTTAGATTA